CCCTATTCTGGGTTTAAAATGGTTTCCAGGGCAGACTAGCCCTATTCTGGGTTTAAAATGGTTTCCAGAACAGACTAGCCCTATTCTGGGTTTAAAATGGTTTCCAGGGCAGACTAGCCCTATTCTGGGTTTAAAATGGTTTCCAGAACAGACTAGCCCTATTCTGCGTTTAAAATGGTTTCCAGGGCAGACTAGCCCTATTCTGGGTTCAAAATGGTTTCCAGGGCAGACTAGCCCTATTCTGGGTTTAAAATGGTTTCCAGAACAGACTAGCCCTATTCTGGGTTTAAAATGGTTTCCAGAACAGACTAGCCCTATTCTGGGTTTAAAATGGTTTCCAGAACAGACTAGCCCCATTCGGGTTTAAAATGGTTTCCAGGGCAGACTAGCCCTATTCTGGGTTTAAAATGGTTTCCAGAACAGACTAGCCCTATTCTGGGTTTAAAATGGTTTCCAGAACAGACTAGCCCTATTCAGGGTTTAAAATGGTTTCCAGGGCAGACTAGCCCTATTCTGGGTTTAAAATGGTTTCCAGAACAGAACAGACTAGCCCTATTCTGCATTTAAAATGGTTTCCAGAACAGACTAGCCCTATTCTGGGTTTAAAATGGTTTCCAGAACAGACTAGCCCTATTCTGCGTTTAAAATGGTTTCCAGAACAGCCTAGCCCTATTCTGGGTTTAAAATGGTTTCCAGAACAGACTAGCCCTATTCTGGGTTTAAAATGGTTTCCAGGGCAGACTAGCCCTATTCTGGGTTTAAAATGGTTTCCAGGGCAGACTAGCCCTATTCTGGGTTTAAAATGGTTTCTAGGGCAGACTAGCCCCATTCTGGGTTTAAAATGGTTTCCAGAACAGACTAGCCCCATTCTGGGTTTAAAATGGTTTCCAGAACAGACTAGCCCCATTCTGGGTTTAAAATGGTTTCCAGAACAGACTAGCCCTATTCTGAGTTCAAAATGGTTTCCAGGGTAGACTAGCCCTATTCTGGGTTTAAAATGGTTTCCAGAACAGACTAGCCCTATTCTGGGTTTAAAATGGTTTCCAGAACAGACTAGCCCCATTCTGGGTTTAAAATGGTTTCCAGGGCAGACTAGCCCTATTCTGGGTTTAAAATGGTTTCCAGGGCAGACTAGCCCCATTCTGGGTTTAAAATGGTTTCCAGAACAGACTAGCCCCATTCTGGGTTTAAAATGGTTTCCAGAACAGACTAGCCCTATTCTGGGTTTAAAATGTTTTCCAGAACAGACTAGCCCTATTCTGGGTTTAAAATGGTTTCCAGGGCAGACTAGCCCCATTCTGGGTTCAAAATTGTTTCCAAGACAGACTAAGACTAGCCTCATTCTGTTAAGGCAACTGCGTTATTCAGTTGTTGGAATGACAATTTTTCAAGTATGACTACCCTTAGTAATCAAGTTTCTGATCTTATCATTGGTATCTATATTTTAATTTTTTTTTCGTAGGGTATTAAGGCTGTGATTGCCGAGTCATATGAACGTATTCATCGTAGTAATTTGGTTGGTATGGGCATTATACCATTACAGTTTGTTGAAGGACAAACTGCAGATAGTCTTGGTTTAACTGGTAAAGAACTGTATAGTATTGACATATCTGATGGTATCAAAACTAAACAACTTGTGGATGTCAAGGTTTGTCTTATTGTAATACGTACTAGCTTAATTTTACTTAATGGCTATTGGGACCTCCAAGCTTAATTTTGATTTTAAAATAGATTTCAAAATGGCTACCTGGTTACACTGGCCTTAATCTGATTTCAAAATGGCCACCAGAACATACTAGCCTCATTCTGATTACAAAATGGCCACCAGGACATACTAGCCTCATTCTGATTACAAAATGGCCACCAGGACATACTAGTCTCATTCTGATTTCAAAATGACCACCAGGACATACTAGCCTCATTCTGATTTTAAAGTGCTCACCAGAACACACTAGCCTCATTCTGATTTCAAAATGACCACCTCCTGGTTACACTAGCCTCTTTCTGATTTCAAAATGGCCACCAGACACACTAGCCTCTATCTGATTTCAAAATGGCCACCAGAAAAACTAGCCTCTTTTTGATTTCAAAATGTCCACCAGAGACACTAGCCTCTTTCTGATTTCAAAATATCCACCAGGACATACTAGCCTCTTTCTGATTTCAAAATGGCCACCAGGACATACTAGCCTCATTGTGGTTTCAAAATGTTCACCAAGACATACTAGCCTCATTCTGATTTCAAAATATCTTCCAGGACACACTAGCCTCATTCTGATTTCAAAATGTCCACCAGGGCACACTAGCCTTATTCTGATTTCAAAATTTCTACCAGGACACACTAGCCTCATTCTGATTTCAAAATGTCCACCAGGCCACACTAGCCTCATTGTGGTTTCAAAATGTCCACCAGGACATACTAGCCTCATTCTGATTTCAAAATGGCCACCAGGACATACTAGCCTCATTCTGATTTCAAAATGTCCACCAGGACATACTAGCCTCATTCTGATTTCAAAATGTCCACCAGGACATACTAGCCTCATTCTGATTTCAAAATGTCCTCCTGGTTACACTAGCCTCATTCTGATTTCAAAATGTCCACCAGGACACACTAGCCTCTTTCTGATCTCAAAATGGCCACCAGGACGTACGAGCCTCATTGTGTTTTCAAACTTTCCACCAGGACACACTAGCCTCATTCTGATTTCAAAATGTCCACCTGGTTACACTAGCCTCATTCTGATTTCAAAATGTCCACCAGGGCACACTAGCCTCTTTCTGATCTCAAAATGGCCACCAGGACGTACGAGCCTCATTGTGGTTTCAAAATGTCCACCTGGTTACACTAGCCTCTTTCTGATTTCAAAATGGCCACCAGGACATACTAGCCTCAATCTGATTTTAAAATGGCCACCAGGACACACTAGCCTCTATCTGATTTCAAAATGTCCACCAGAACAAACTAGCCTCATTCTGATTTCAAAATATCCTCCAGGACACACTAGCCTCATTCTGATGTCAAAATGGCCA